CCCCCAGCGGCGCCGCTTCCCGCCCCGCGCCACCGTCCGCGGCAGCGTCGGCCCCGCACTTCGCCTGGGGCTTCAACTTATCGTTTCGCCGCGCCGGCTCCGCTTCAACTTTCTCCGCCGCTTTCTTGGCGGCGGCGCCACTCTTCACGCCGGCTGACGTGTCCCCGACGGCTGCCTCCAGTGCATCGATCTCTTCCTTGAGCGCCCGACACTCCGCCGCCGCCTCCGCATAGCTGGCGTCATCTGCCTTCATGGACTTCATCTTCTTTTCCAACTTGCGTAGGCTGTCCTTCTTTCGCTTAAGGTCACGCTGTGCTCGGACAGCCGCCTTGGCGCCGTCGCTCTCTTGCCCCATGAGATGGGCATCGGTCGGAGCCTGCGCAGACATTAGTTCCAGCCGTAATAAAAACACCCACTTGCTTCACTAGCGAAACAACAGAAGCAGGGGAAGTTTTTTTTTTAAAGCGAAGGCAACACCGCCACCACAATTATTAGTATCATAAAATGCGCCCCACCACCACAACGAATTCCCCAGGGGTATACTTCGTCATTAAAAACATGTATATTAGTGACAGCCACGCAGAAGCACCCCAGTGAGCTGATCAGTGACGAGGGATTATTTATCTTCACCTGATGACTCCACTCTGTCCACCACAACGCACGAGAACACAACACAGGTTGAATCAAAGGAGATTACAAAGCACAGGATCAAAAAGAATTACAGGGAAAATGAAGAGGGAGAGGGCTTCAGATATTCGTCCAAAGCGAGCCCCAACAGAAATGGGTTGCTATCGCGAGGCACAAAACATCCAAAAACACCACTCTGGCCTCACCAAATCGTTGACCATAAAACAAAACGAATGCCATAGTGTCAGTGTATAGACTACTGTGCACCTACACGCATCCTGGATTCAATTCAACGTGAAGCACACAGAAAGAGACACAAGAAGAAACAATAAACGTATAGACATTTTCTTGAAGATCGTAGAAAACCGTATATTGACAAAGTTCAACAAGCAGTCCCATCCCATCTCAGCAGAAATGAGTATGAGCATATAATATCAGCTTAACAGAGCAAGCAACGCCACCTATCTAGACAATGGCCGGACACAATCCAATCTCATCATTTCAAGGCGAACCGAAACTCAGAAGAGCTTCCAGTATATTTGAAAACATATACAGTTATTAACTTATAGTCATGTATATCCATGTGCGTATGTAGTTGTATATTCCGCTTCTCAGAATTTAGTATATGTATTGAGAGGTGCACAAAACAGGAAGAAAATGTGCTTTAATGGGCAGGGCATGATGGGTGGGGAAGGAAAGAAAAACAGAGCACTTAGTTTTCCTTGCTTGTTAGGCTTCGCTGCCGCTTCAACGGGGGACGGCTCCATATGCACGCGCCGCGGAAGGCTATGTATATAGCCAGGGCGCACGTCAGCCCGCCAACGAAGAACCCCACACCGAGCATGAGCGAACCATCCCGCAAGTCGGGGCACCTCGCCAGGGCGCTGGCCGCCGTATCCAACACGAAGTTGCAGTCAAGCAGAGGTCTTGCGTACGACAATGCAATGCTGATATTCTGGGCAACATGGGCTTTGTGCACGATTTCAGCTGCTTTTGATTTCACAAAATTGTTTGTACAGTTCACAGCACACTCTGGAAGGCTGCATGTGGATGCTGGATTCGGACACGCCTTCGCAAATGATTTAACCTTCGTTGTCAACAGCACGGCTGCCACGGTGCCAAAGTTAGTGCACTGATCGGCGCTCACGATATCCATGCCACAGATCAGAGGGCGAATAATCTTCTGTAATTCTTTTGACAAATCGCCACGAAATTTCGGAACGCCACCAGAGAGGTCAACCTTATCAAGGAGGTTCAGCTCTTTCAGAATTTCCATTCCCTCCGGGATTTTAGACAGCTGATCGTGAAGATCGCTCAGGTTCTTTTCAGAGAAGTCAGTAATGTTTGTTGTGTTCAGAGGAAGTTTTGATACCTTATCCAACACCTTCGAACCAATGACTTCTGTCACGTTGACGGGAAGATCGGATAACTCCTTTATAGCATACACATTCAAAGGAGCCTGTGAGATTTCTGCGCCGTTGTCACAGACATCCAGCAGTTGTGAACAGGCTTGTTGAGAATACTGCAGCTCCGTGGCATGAATCTCCGCATTGATCTTGTTGAAATTGAACTCCCTCTGGCAGTATGGCACTGCATACCACTGAGATAACCCTGGCTGCCGTTGGTAATGCAGATCCACCTCACCACAACCGATGAAAAAAGCGTACGCCAGCAGAGTGAAAATGACACCAAGGAGCGAAAACACAAGCCCGCTAACCCAGTATAGGCATGAGAGGATTAAAGGGAACCACGGAATACAGCAGTGAAAGATTGCGAAGGGTAGAATAAGGGCAACCAAGACGAAGCCTAGACCTCCAATGCAGTAAGTTGAAATGGACACCCATTTAAAGTACTTGAATTGGTACTCCCGCGCCAGTTCAACACTGTCCATGGCTGTTCTGTGCACCGTTTTTAAAGCCGTCAGGTCCAGCGGAATGGAATCGAGTGGCTGACGCTTCCCTGTCGACCAGTCGGACGCGAAGTCAATAATCCTTTCACCTGTGCGGTTGAGGTAGTCCAGAGGGCCGGAGACTGTGTCGTCCAAAAGGTCGAAGGCAGATCGAAAGAACGTTCGAGAACCATAAACCACGAAAAAGAGCATGGCACAGCTCCACAGAAACGCATAGATTATCCACAACCACAGGAAACACCGCGCGCGTCGTGTGGGGCCTTCCTCATTGGGCGTGCAGCAACAGCGGCGGCATATAAGAAAAGACAGCAACAGAATTGGGAAACTCAACAGAGTCACCAGCAAGAGCAATGCGTTCAAGCCAGGCAGAACGAGGAGTCTCCAATGTCCCTTCAAACGGTCGGTGTTCCGGAGGCACTCGACCACATCATTGCCAGCACTGGGGTCTTTCCATACTCTCTCGCACTCAAGTGACGTTGTCGCAGAGACAGGGACTGCAATTGCGGCGAGAAGAACAAGCAACCCAATGGATACATGCACGACCCTCGGGCAACCAGAGACCATCTTTGTTCTTGTCGTTCGCTCCTTTCTGCAAACGGTCTCCCTAGCCGTGATTCTGAGAGTCGACTAAATGAAAAAGATAGAAAACGTACAAATAACAACCAAACACTCCGGATCAAAATTACCAAAGGATAATCACGAACGCAGATTACAGCGTGCAAAACGAGCAGAAAGCAAAAAAAAAAAACAAGGCGACACAACAATAGAGACCTAGCAGCCTGCATTGCTTGAGTAACTGACAAGGCAAAAACTCGTCGCACTCTATCAAAATCAAAGCCCAGAACCGTTAGCAAGCACACAAGGGTAGTGGAAATCCACTCCGTTGTCAGTGATACTCGCACCGGAAGCGCCCGAGGCTGAGATCAAAATACGAAAACAACTCTAGTTGGAGGACACGAACAATGACACTGCCGCTGCTGTGAATGGGACGAGAGGCGCCACCTGTCAGGTGTGCCGGCGCACGTGACAGCAGAAGCAGCGGCAAGGCACATAAATTGGAGAAGGACCCTACTTCTTCTTGGGTGCCGTCTTCTTTGCTGCCGGCTTCCTGGCAACAGCCTTCTTTGCCGCCTTCTTGGGGGACGCCTTCTTGGGAGCTGCCTTCTTCGCCGCCGGCTTCTTGGCTGCCTTCTTTGCCGCCTTCTTGGGAACAGCCTTCTTCGCCGCCGGCTTCTTGGCAACGGCCTTCTTGGCTGCCTTCTTCGCCACAGGCTTCTTGGCGGCCGGCTTCCTCACACTCTTCTTGGCGGTCTTCTTTGGGGATGCCTTCTTGGGCGACACCTTTGCGGGGGCAGCAACG